GATGGTTTCCAAATCTGGGTGGGCAGGGATGGTGTCTTCTTATTAAGCTTCTTGAGGCTTGGAAGCACTTTGTGGTTGCTCATGGCTGTGGTTAGTTGCTGGCTGTAGAGAGCACCCTGTCTAGGGATATCTATTACCGTCTTCATTTCAGACAATTGGTTACCCTTGAGACCCGAGTTTCCACTCTCCACAATCTACCCATGCTAAGAGCATAAAAATGAAACATTACCCATCAGCCTTTTTCACCCCAGCCCCTTGCATCAAGGGACAGCCTCCATCTAACATGTAGGGAGCCTGACAGACGGGGGGGGGGGGTGGTTGTCTGTCATCCCAGAGAGAAGCGACTGCTCAGTTCATGGAGTTTCTTCCTCTGGATACTACATTTATTTTGTGGTAAAATGGAATGATTACCACTTGAAAGGAATTTATTTCACTCAAATAATACTGCTAAATTGAAAGATTTACAGCACACATCTCCAGGAGAGTGCTTGGCAGCAATCAGGTGCTTGCCTGAGTCCCTGCCCCCTCGGGAACCCCTGTGGATGCCATCACAGCTCAGGTATGAGAGCAGATGAGAAGGGACCGGGGAACGTGGTTCAGAGAGGACTTCTGACACTGTTTGTGGAGAGCAAGACTATCATCAGGATGGGTGGGGGCCAGGTGGAAGATAAAGGGCAAATGTGTCTTCACCAGACATCAAAACCTCAAAATACAGATTTTTTAATTCTTTCCAGAGAGATCAGTATGGATTCATCAGCCAGAATATTTACTCTGGTCTGGTCTTCTCAGGACAAATCAGAGACACGTCCCTCCCCCAATATTTCTAATACAGGACAGAACCTCTCATTTTAGAAAGAAGAAGACAGAAGGTCAAAGATGGGAGCCTAGAAGAGAGAAGGCAGATGCAGAAGAGAGTTACAGCCTCTCCCCGGGTCTGACCTCCAGCACAGCATGGCCGCCATCATAAGCCTGGACACTGTTCTCCTGTTGAGGATGAGGATGCAGAGTGCAGGGAGGCCTGAGCACCTGCTCAGGTTCAGATGGCTGCTTAGTGATAATCTTGTTTTTTCTGCATAACTCAGGGCAGTATCAAAGTGAAGTTTCAAGTTGACCTCCCTATGGGGTTCTGTCAAGGGCAAAGCACTGGACTGTTCTTTCTCTCCCTCTGTTCTTTAAGGGGCTGAGGAATCACCAGGCTTAGACTTCGGCTCTAGTGTCCTTTCCTGTTGGTAAGTTTGGTTTCTAAATAAATAATTACCCTGTCTACTCCTGTCTGAACCACCCGTCTCCTCCCTCCTAGGTGATTGCTCCCTTACCCCACTGACATCTTCCCACATACCAAGATCCTTCTTTTTACCCCTCACACACGAATTCACACACACACACACACACACACACACACCTTCCCCACACACATCACTATGCAAAATAAAATTAGAAATACGCCCAACTCCCAAGGTATTTAAGGAATGGAGATATTTCAATCAGTATGGCCCAGACTGAGCCCTTTGGACTCCTCCATCCCAGACCTGTGTGAGAGGCAGGCAGAGCTTGTGTAAGGGGCCAAGCAACTTGTGACTCAAAGCTTCGGTGAAAGGAAAAAAGACCTCTTGTGCTTCCTTGTGGCTGTCCCAGGGCCACCGGAGTCTCAGAAGCTGCCTCCTGGCATGCTGTTTTTCCTTTTATATATAAGATTCTTTTAGAACATGAAAAGGTTTCCTGGCCCCTTTTTTATTTTTATGTATGCTGATAAAATACAGAGAAAACAGTGTCTGATGATTCCAAAATAGAGGCTAAGCCGATCGGCATATGGCCTTCACTTCAAAGGATTGCTCGTTTTAATCAACCAGTAGAGATAGCAATAAGCATTTATTATATTTGCTCACACAGAGAGGAGTGGAGAAGGCAGTGATGGGGGCCATTGCAGCTTTGGAAACTGAGGCTGGTAAAGGCATTGATACTCTTGCTATGTTTCATGTTCTTAGATTCCCCCTACATGGGTGGGTACGTGCATGTGTGCTAACACACACACACACACACACACACACACACACAGATGTTTGCCATACACTGATGTTACCACCCTCTTGGTGTCTCATGGCACACACATGAGAAAGCATGAAAAGAAGACAGAAACAGGAGAAGCTTCAGAGTCCCAGCTCTGTGTATAAACCCCATTGTCCTCAAGTGATGCTGTCATGGGCAGAGGCTGAGAACAGGAGTATTGTGCTAGAGCCAGGTTCAAAGCCAGCCCCCCGCCCCCCACTCACCTGCTGCATGACCTTGGGCATATGGCTTAGTGTCACCTTCTTGTCCCTAGAATGGGGCTCAGCTAGCTTCAGGGATCACACTGAAGTACGGATGCAGCCATTGTGTCATGGGTTCAGCACTGTGCCTGTTACTGAGGAAAGGGCCAGTCTGTAGCATTAATGACGATGACCTGGACATGAATGGTCCCCATCCCAAGCAGGCTTTATAGCTCCATCCAGTCCTCTGTTCAACAGAACACACTGGAATGTAGGCTTACACAGTAAGTGGTAAACGGTGGATACCCACACCCAGGTAGACTGGCTCTCACCCCTCAGCTCACAGCCCTTTTGAGATAATGCCCATCTTCATGGGTGTTACCCTGGTAAACTGAGCTCTAGACATTACCCCTACCCCACCCCCCCCTACACACAAGGTCTCCTTGGTCCTAGCTGCCAGCAGGGAGGGGTCACAAACAGGAAGAAGGGAGGGAGGGAGGTCAGGATATGGCTGGAGCTTAGGCATCAAGGCTGAATCCCTATCTCCCAGTTGGAACCAGGGTTGCAGTAAGGCAGGGCGCCACAATCCGCCCTGGGGGGGGGGGGGGAGCGGGAAGGGCGGGAGTGTGGGGGGCAAGTCCTCAGTGCTGAGCCAGTGGCCAGAGCACCGCCCCCAGGAGCGGAGGGAGGGGTGGCGGAGCAAGGGGGGTACCCAGCTGCCATCCCCGCCGTCTCCTGGCCCCCACTCTCTGGTACCCAAGTAGGAGGGCGGCAGCTTCCCGCTCCCTCCTCCCACACCCCCGCTACCTGCCCAGTCCCCGAAGCGAAGCGTGAGGAGGCTGCGAGCCAGTCGGGCGAGCCCACAACTTTGCAGCCTCAGGGAAGACCAGGGTTGGCGTCCGGGGTTCCTCCTGTCGCGACTGGAGCTCGGTGAGTTCGTTCCCCAGCCCTCTGCGGCGCTGCGGCTGCTTCGGAGGGCGGTTGCCCGGGCGTCCAGGAGGCAGTGGCTGAGGAACCGGTGGGTGCCCGCGCTGTCTGGGTCCGCAGGGCTCCGGTGCCGCCCTCGGAGGCCGGTGAGGCGGACGCCGGTGCTGAGCGGACAGCTCCCCCACGCTCGCCGCCGCCTGCCACTCTGCGGACCGTTGCGGGACACAGGGCCCGGGCTGCAGCCACCCACCCCGCGCCCCGCACTCCCCCCCAGCCCCTGTCCTTTGCCTTCCCAGAGCCGCGGCGCATCTGGAGGCTGCTCCCGCACCCCCCTGGCGACTGGCGCCGGGAAGACACTTGCTTCCCTCGCTGGAGCCCGGTACCTAGGGTTCTGTGGAGTGGGCAGCGCCCCCGTGGCCTCAGGGAAGCATGGCTTCAGGGGAGGGGTTTGAGCCCCCAACAATCGCCCCCAGGCTTGCCCTGTGATGCGCCCCAACAGTGCAGAGAGGCCGCAGGTCCCCAGATTGTCAGGCACTGTCACCTGCAAAGATTTCAAGGTGACCAATGTCTCGACCCGGACGGGACAGCCTGGACCCCAGGCCCCCGTGGTATCCATCCATCTTGGGTTCAACCACCTTCCCACAACTTTTTTCGTGCTTCCTTCTGGCCGATTACTTAGATCACTGGAAAGTTCTTCTGGACACACGAAACCTATTTCCCGGTGGTATCCGAAGTTGGGGAGGGGCCCGGGCTGTAGGGGGTGGGGCTGCGTTCGGCTCTGGGGGGGGGGGTCATCCTAGAAAAAGCTGCCAAGCATCCACTAGTCCACACAGGACGGGCTTCTTGGCATCGAAAGGGTTTCGGCGCCTTGGGGATTGTTTGGGTTTCTCCCGCCAGGAAAATGAAAGGCGGGTGCGAATGGGGGATTTCAATTTCATTGCCTCAAAGGAAAACACTCTTTGCAAAGATTTTATAGAAATAGTCAGGGCAACCAGCGGCTGGAAAATGAACTGACTAGGACTCAGTGACACAGGTACTCTGATTACACCTCCTCACTACCCAAGCACCTAAACATGTGTGACTGCATCCAGTGTTTTAACTGCTTTTTTTTTAAAGAAAGAAAGAAAGAGAGAGAGAGAGAGAGAGAGAGAGAGAGAGAGAGAGAGAGAGAGGAGAGAGAGAGAAAGCCAGGTGTCAGGGAGTAGATATACGCACACTACCCAGATGCACACAGATAGCGTGTACAGTCTCACACAAGGAAACACACATCATGGTCCACAGCCCGGCTACTTCCAGAGAGCCGTGGGTAACCGGTGAGGTAACAGAATATTGCTCAAGGTAGGAGTAGGGGGAGGGATGAATCAGGATCTCCAGGAGTCAACCGGTTCTCTCCACCACCACCCCCAACTCCCATCCTTTTCTTTCTGCTAGGGAAGCCTCAGCCAGAAATCCCAAAAGTGGGTTGTATCCACTACTGTGATACAGTAGCAGATTCACCGCTCAGCTCCTAAACCCCTCCCCTCCCCCACACACAATCACTCCAAACTGCAAACAGTTTCCCTCCTTGTACCTCTCCAGACTCCAAGGCAACAAGGACTTAGCCAAAGTAGGTCTGGCCAGACGCTGACCAGCTGTAGTCTTTCGGTCTCTAACCTGTTTGATCCCAAATTAGGGAAACTGGAAAGGGTGATCCAAGGGCAGGGTTTGGGAGATTTGTGTCCAGCCCTCTGAACCTTCGACCAAGGAGAAGAGCGCCATGATAACAACGCCCTGGACAACGCTGTAAGGCTTCCTCTCTCCTTGCGCCCCTTAGGAATGTAATCGAGGATGCTGGCCTTGCGGCTGCTCAACGTGGTGGCCCCCGCCTACTTTCTTTGCATTTCCCTGGTGACCTTCGTACTGCAGCTCTTCCTCTTCCTGCCCAGCATGCGCGAGGACCCTACAGCCACCCCGCTCTTCTCGCCTGCCGTGCTTCACGGGGCGCTCTTCCTGTTCCTCTCAGCCAATGCCTTGGGCAATTATGTCCTGGTCATCCAGAACTCCCCAGACGACCTGGGTGCCTGCCAGGGAACCTCGTCCCAGAGACCTCAGTGCCCACCACCCAGCACCCACTTCTGCCGAGTGTGCTCCCGAGTCACGCTGAGGCACGACCATCACTGTTTCTTCACCGGCAACTGCATCGGCAGCAGAAACATGCGCAACTTCATCCTGTTCTGCCTCTACACCTCACTGGCCTGCCTTTACTCCATGGTGGCCGGAGTGGCCTACATCTCAGCTGTCCTTTCCATCTCCTTCGCCCACCCCCTGGCCTTCCTCACGCTCCTGCCCACTTCAATCAGCCAGTTCTTCTCCGGTGAGTGGGCCGTGGCAGACAGGTTCGCCAAACAAGACCTCCTAGCCCAACCCCAAGTTTTTTCAAATAAAAGCACAGGATATTCGGCTCAAACAGTCAGATAAACAGTTGTTTGGTATGATTATGCCCCGGTATTCCAGGAGGCATACTAAGAGAACAGATTGTAGTCTATCAGAGGTTATGATGTACTGGGCATGCTCTATTCATGCCCACCCTCCTCAGACATCCTACCTTCCTTGGCTTTCATATTATATATATATATATTACTTACAAAATTATGGCACCCAAGCTAACACTTCTCAGGCCAGACACATCCCTTCAGAGCGCATGCTATGTTCTCCATGGACCTGGACCCCAGGCCTACTCACACATTCCTTCAGGAGTTCTTAGCAAACAACCACACCCAGGCTAAACTTGACTTCAGGCTGGGCTGAGAAGGAGACTAACCTCCAACCTCCCACCCACTATGTTAGACTAAACCAGACTCTTGGAGGCTCAGAGCCACCTCACTGGCTACAAGCCGACATGCCACAGATCCAGCCTGACATGGGATCTGACCCTTTAGAAGGCTCTGACACCTGCTGGAGCCAGGTGCATGAGTCCTCGACAATGTTCACATAGGCACCATGGTGAGGACTGTAGTTTGAAATGTACATCTCTAAGAGCATCCTGTGGTACCTGGCCCTGGAAGACTCTGTTTCTGGTGGCAGTTCAATCTTACCTGACCCTGGCACATGTCCCTACTTCCTTGCTGTCCACTCTTTCCTCACCTTTGACCTTGAATTCTGACCAATTTGATCTCTATAATTAGTAGTGTAGACACAAAGGTGTGTGTCTGGTGTTCTTAGGCCCATGTCTCAGATAACCTGAGTCTTAGCTGGGGCTAAATGACCTGCCTAGTATCTTACTTCCCTAGAATGGCTGTCTCTGGCTTGTATCCAGGTGCTTAAATCACAATTCCATGCTCTTCCTCAGGGTCCATATTCCCAAACACCTTCCAGGGTCAAAGAAAGACAGCTACTTCTGCAGAGAGGACACCTGACACCTGATGCCTAGCCTGGCCAGGCCTGGGTACTTAAATTTTTTCTGTACCCAAGGGAAACCCTCATTTCAGTTGTATCTTTATCTCAGCTCTTCACAGACATAGAACTACCGTGCCATTTGGCAGCGGGAATGCAGGAGCCCAGGGAGGACCAGCCATGAGAAATCCCTGGAGGGCTGGTGGCTAAGCTAGGCCCAGAACTTGGAGCTCTGGGGCCTTCTGGATCTTGGTGCTGGCATAGAAGGCTGCCAGGACTGAAATAAGCAGGGTGGGGGAGGGTAGGTGGGTGGGCTGGGGGTGGAGTGTGAGAGCAGGCAGGTGGAGCCAGCGATGAGGAGAGCCAGAGAACCTGATTGCACATCCTTTTCCAAGTAGTCTCTCCAACCATAAAAATGGGTGGTTCCAGAAGGAGGGCCTTGAAATGGTTTGATTTAAGTCTGGGCGTGAGGCCTGTCCATATGTGCTAGGTTTGGGAAATATGGAAGGGAGGGAGCCTCTTACTTTGATCTGATGGGAGAAAAAAAGCCAGCCCATGCCCACTTCAGGGCCCAAGGGTCTGTGTTGGCTTTAGAGTGAGCCTCACCATCTTTCACCATACCCACAGGAGAAATGAATTCAAGGCTTCTCATCACCATATCCACCTCATCTTCCTTCTTTGCTCACCCTTCACAACCCTCCCTGGCCCTGTCCACACATATATGACCCTCTCTTCAACCTTCTCCTTTGAGACTCTTCTTCCCCAGTTCCCTGTCCAAATGGTTCAGTGCATACCCTTTCAGCTGCTCAGGAGAACGGGAGGGCAGGAAGCTGCACAAAGGCAGTTGTTTAATCCAGAAATTATCCCTGCAGTCAGGACCTGCCACTAGCACCTGAGATGACTCTGAACGGGGCCTTGAAAACCCCCTACCTCTATTTGGGGGGGGCTTCTTCCAAAATGCTACTGGCCACTGACTCCAGACCCTCAGGTAATGCAAAGGTAAGAGAGGGGGGTCTGTTGAGGAGTCTTGAAAGGGTTTCCTTACTTTTGGCTTTGTGTCACCTCTGTGAGCCTCATTCTTATCTAGAGAATGGAAGTGACACCGTTTGACACGCACCATGGCATTTGGATTAGTATCAGTTGGTAGAGAGCACTAGATGGCCCCATAGGAGAAAAGGGAGAGTAGAATTTATTGAATACCTATTTTGTGCCCCACTAGACATGCGTCTTTACATTCAATCTTTAGGACAAATCTGGGAGGCAGGTATTGTGTTATTTTTTTTTTTAAAGCTGGAGAACCAAAGGTTAAGTTGCTTCTGTTTTGGACTCTGGATTCATTCTTTTCTACCCTGCCTGTCTAGTCTTGCTTCATGCTGTTTGAGCCTCTTTGGGGTTGGGGGGACTGTCTATGCCCAGATGTATTATAGAATATGCTGGGGGATGGTTTGGCAGAAGTGTTAGAGATGGTTGTCGGGGTAGAGCAAGGAGAGAGAAAACTAGATGATGTAATCTCTTAGATCCTTTAAGAAACGTGTGTGCTTTTTCTGAAAGAGAAACTATTATTACATAGTTTAGAGGCACTGAAGCAGTCAGGACAGGTAACTTCAAACACTTTGAAAGAAAGAAACCAAGTCCCCAGAATAGCCTTTTGTAGCTGCTACATGGGGCCAGCAAAAGGCCAGAAGGTCTTTGCCTCATGCCTTGATTTAGAAACTTGTGGTAAATGGCTCCTGTCTGCCTGACTTGTTCCTGGGGCTGAGTTGCAAGGCAGGCATAAGCTTGACAGCTCTGAGTCTCTCACATCCTAGCTTGAGGGATAGCTTGCACATCAGTATTTCTCAAGCTGGAAAAGCACCACGGCCCCAGGAGTCTCTGTCCTGTACATAGCTGCCCAAGCTAATTTGTACTGACAAGGAAAAAGTGGGTCAGGGGATGGCCCGGCTCTACTTGAGTCTGTCTCTTTGCTGCCCCCAACAATGGTGGAGGGGCTTCTCTAAATGCCTGCTGGAACAAGATTTCCGTCCTCCAGGCAGCTATTTGTCTCTAACGTTGCAAAGAAAACCCTGCTACCCAAGCTCTTAGAGTTGAGGAAGATATTTCCAGTGAGCAAGCCAGCAGATCGATTCATCTTGGCTGCTGAATCCATCTTGGATCAGACTGACAGGTGTTAAAGTCTATTTCTCAGGTGTCAGGAAACTGGAGCCTGGGAAGAGGTGGGCTGGGGCAAATAGGAGCTGGGGGGTTGTGGGGAGATGATAGCAGAGATTTTTGTAGGTAGCTTGTACATTGACATCCCTACACGGGCACTCAAGCCTCTCTGGAGAAGGTGGGGGATAAGAAAGGGACCCAAGTTCTATTCTCAACCCACTGCTCTGGCTGCTAAGCATTCCAAGGTAGATGTATTTACTACAGACACTAAATCTACAGCCCAGACAGAGCTCCAGACCCTGGAAAGGTGGGGGAGGCTGAGGGTCTTGGAATTTAAACCCGAAACATCTGGAGATGTAGTCTCCTTCTCTAAGTCCTGGCATTCAGCACCAGGTATAAACCACAACTCTGGCAACTCCAAACACCTGTAATCCTGAAAACCTATAAAGCATTGTAGCCACGTTGCTGATGAGCAACTTAGAGCTCAGAGAGGTTAAGGAACCTGTGCAAGTCCACACAGCTAAGAGATTCAAGCCCAGGGGTTGGAAATTTAGCTCAATTGTAGAGCACTTCCCTAGCAAGCACAAGGCCCTGGGTTCAGTCCTCAGCTCTGGAAAAAAAAAGAACGAGAGAGAGAGAGATTCAAGCCCAGCATGTACCAATCCCCCCACCTCAAACTCTAAGGACATGTGAGGTTTCTTACAAAGTACAGCCACAGAAGTGCTGGGTTTAGACGGTGTAGAGCGGGTGCTGTCCAGCGCCAGGGTGCTGAACTGATGGCCATAAGGGTTTCTTTGAGCCTTAGCCGCTGACTTGACTGACGGGACTGCTTTGGCTGAGTGTTCCAGTGTCTCCTTCTCTTATTAACATTAATGACTGATAATAATTGTTCTCTAAGTCGGCTCTGTGTGCTGCCCTTGAGGCTGAGCTCGTGACTTGTTCCCATGACTGGGTTCTGTTCTCGATCACGCTGTCACTTTCCCAGATCCTCCCAGACAGTGCTCCCAGCCTCACAGGGAGAACTGGCTGCAGTCTAGACAGCTGCCCAGGTGCCAGCTCCCTCTTTAGGTTCCTAAACTCGCTCCTCTTTCCTCCTGTGACCCAGCCCCACCCGCTTCCAATCCAGAAAGCGAAATGGGGGTGGGAGGCACTGTGCAGGGAAACGTGCAGATTCCAGGCTTGCTGAGGGCTCTTTTCACAGAGCTCTTTTAACCTGTTCTCCATCTCCCCAGGCACCCGGTTCTCCCCCCTCTCTCTTCAGGAGCCATCAGCACTGAGGAAAACTTGGGCCAAGGAGCTCAGCCACAGTCTTCCCAGGCTGCAGAGCTGAGAATGCTACAAATCGCAACTTCCAACTCGTGAGCCTCTCTCCCTGTCTCGCAGCGGAAAGCACCAGAGCGCGGAGCGCTTGGGTACGTACGTGGCCTGGGTGTAAAGCGGTCTGGTGTTTCCCCTCCCCCACGCAGGAGCTGTCCTCGGTTCTGACATGTTCGTCATCCTCATGCTCTACCTCTGGTTTGCTGTCGGCCTGGCCTGCGCCGGTTTCTGCTGCCACCAATTGCTGTTGATCCTCCGGGGGCAAACCCGCTACCAGGTTCGAAAGGGCGTGGCTGTGAGATCCCGGCCCTGGCGCAAGAACTTACAGGAGGTCTTCGGAAAGAGGTGGCTGCTTGGCTTGCTGGTCCCCATGTTCAATGTCGGCGCTGAGAGCTCGAAGCAGCAGGACAAATAGCTGGCAAGCACGTAAGACCACAAGCACCCTTGTCTCCACCTGTGACACATCACACCCTCCCCTAGGAAGGGCCTTATATCCACCCCAGGTCTTCAGTCCTCAGAGGATATATTAACAGGTGCATCCTGGCATGGAAGGGAAATGGCTACCTGAGCACCACTAGGCTGCTCGACAGCCAGCCGGGTAGGGAGCTGCTAAATTGTTACGGTGTTTGAACTTTGAGGTTTTTTTTGGGGGGGAGGAGAAGCCCTTCCCTGCCCCCACCTGGCCCGTCCACTCTTGTGTCTCAGGTCATTGCTGCTTTTGCTAAAGCCCTTCTCTTTGTGTTGATGGTGGAGACTACATTCTTGCTGCTAGCAGGAGATTCCACAGATGCGAGAGGCTGGTAAATGGTGGTTAAACCATGCATGAGAGACAGCCAAGTAAGCTTTGCCTCTAGTGAGAATGGGAAGGGGTAGTGATCTTCCCTCATCCACTGTGAAGGATAGTCAGTAGTATTAGTGTTGGCGAGGAGGGAGCACAGGCCCTGCTGCTTAGCTCAAGCACAAGGCCCTTTCCCTGGAGACAACAATCAATGGCCTGGTGTTCTTAAATGCTGTTCTCTGCCCCATCTGGCCAGCCCAGGAGTTAGCTGGATAGTTCTTTTCTCTGGAATTTCTCTGGCCTTTCCCTTTGGTCTCCAGCCTCCAGATTTTTTGCTAGATATTGGGAAGGGAAGACGGGAGACAGAAGAGGGAGTTACTTACCCATAAGTAATAAGAGACGTGTGTTTCTTATATAGCCTTATATAATTGTGTGTGCGTGTGTGTGTGTGTGTGTGTGTGTAAGAGGGGGTGGAGGTGAGGAGTGTTGTTATGAGCACAGAGAGAGAGTGAGTATTGGAGGGGAAGGAGGGAGGGGCAAATGGGTTAACTCTTTTGCAGCCAAAGCCAGCCAGTGATTGAATGTTACCTGGAGTGAGTGCTAGCCACTGGAGATATTTTGACAGGGATCTAGGCAGTTATCTACCAAAAAAGGTTTTTTTGTACTAGTTTATTCTAGATGAACTTAGAGATCCCTTTCCACTCCTTGATTCCAATGTCTTCTTCGATACTGCTGGGCCCAGGGACAAGATCTTTAGAAACAAGATCTTGGGCTGGAGAGATGGCTCAGCAGTTAAGAGCATTGACTGTTCTTCCAGAGGTCCTGAGTTCAATTCTCAGCAACCACATGGTGGCTCATAACCATCTGTTATGGGGTCTGATGCCCTCTTCTGGTGTGTCTGAAGAGAGCAAAGTGTACTGACATACATAAAATAAATAAATCTTTAGAAAAAAGAAAAAAAAAACAAGACCTTTAGAGACAACATCTTTACCTGCTTTCATGGGGCAGGAGGTAGGGTAACCATGGAGAGGGTCTAAAAATCATAACACGAACTTTCTGAACACAACCTAGACATCAAGAGGCCTTCCTGATGTTAGCAGTAGCTAGCGGGGCCAACAGTGGAGGATGAGGGGGGAGGGGGTATAACTATGTTAGAGCCAGGTTGGTGCAGCTAGCTTAGGGAGAGAAAAACCTGGAGGTCACACTCAGCCCTGAGGAGTTTGTGGGGATGACAGAATATTGGGGTACAATTGCCAGTCCATTCCTGCCAGTCTGGCTAGCTCTAGATAAGGACACCGCCTTGTATCCTGAGGACCAGAGGACCAGACAGATCCCTGGGGCATATGAAGGGGTGGGAGCCATATAAAAACCCTCTCCTGACTTGGTCCCAGGCCCAGTACAACATCCACACAGGCATTGAGACTGACGCCTATGTTCTGCAGTATCCAGTAGGTGGCCGCAGTGACCCCAGCCACTGCCCAAGAAGAGCGTGAATTGCTGAACAGAGAGTGGGAGGTTATTACTCAGGCTCAGCTTTGGCGCCCTCCAGAGGGCTAATGTAGTAATGGCTTTCCTGCTCACAGGTCTCCCTTCAGCAGACATTCTTTTGAGCCCTCCCACCCCCGTTTGCTCATACTCTATCCGTTCATCCTAGGTATCTGTGTCAGGCACCGACCGTGAGCTGAATCTCAGTCACTGGCAATCCAGATGCCCACCATCGAGGGCAGATGACTCCTGCCATTGCACTCTCTTTTCCTAGCAGTCATTGCAGGTGGCCCCCTGTAGAAGAATGTTGTGGCAGGGCTGAAGGGGAGCCCAGGCTTCCTCAGTGGAAGAGCCATTCAGGGTATATCCACTCACAATTCTGGGCACCCCTTTAGAAGCATGAAGAAACAAGGGAGGGGAGATGTCCAGACAGTTCAGGCCTTAGAACTCTCTTGACCACAGAATCCAAACTTAGAGCCAGCCCTACGTTGTCCAGGCTCAGTACCACGGAGCCTTGGCATCCTAGAGGGAAAAGGGAGTACTTCCGATGGCCAGCCCTTTAAACACTGGTCAGGGACGGAGAGGCTGTGGGGAGATTGCCAGGTGTGGCACTTGAGTAGCATTTGAACACATGGCCCTCTGTTGTTAATGAAGAATATTAATAAAAGTATGTGGTTTTCAACTGTATTTGGTTTGTCTGTCTGGTTGGGATCAAGGCTGCAGGATCAGCGTCTGCTGATATAGATTTACAGTGATTAGGAATACTTATGCTCCAGTGGGTAAGTAACTACACCAGGCTTCCCTGAGCAATGCTCTTCTGGAGCCTCTGCTCCTCCCTACGACCTCAGGTTCACTGAACAATCTGGCACTAATCCAGGACTCTGCCTCAACTCCTCTCACTGCCCACGCACCCATGTCTGTTGTGTCTGGTCAAGGCCTTGCTGTGTGGTGTGGTAGTGTGACTCTTAGCACTTGTGGGTAGTAGGTCTATGGTACCTCAGAGACCAGGAATGAAAAATCTCATCTGAGAATCTTCCTTTCCCTCCTCCTCCTTGATATAGAGAGGAAGGTAGGGGAGAGGATGGGAGACCATCTGCTTCTTCATCTCAGCTACAAGGCAGGGCCTCCTGACCTCTCAGGCTCACTGCCTTGAGGGCAGCCAGGAGGATACCAAGCTCTTGAGAGTATAACCTCTGAAACATCCTGAGGACATGCAGACGGATGGGGCACAAAGGACAAATGTTGACCTTGTGTGACCTATCAAAGCCCCAGCCAACACACAGCCAGCAAGCCAAATCCTGATAGACCAGGCAGCCCATTGTCAGCTTGTTCTAGAGAACATGGCCTGTCCACCCACAGGCTAACACCACAGCTGCCCCTGCCAGCCCTGTACCCTTGATGCTTAGCTGAGGTCACTTATCTAGTCACTGCTCAACAATAATTATTGAGTGCTTGCTTCCCCGGTGCCATGTTCTGAGTATTGCAGGCTCAGACACCTCTGAGGCTGTGAAGGTTTTGCTCTGGGAGAGGCTACTGGGGTTTTGCTCAGAGAGTGTATTTCCAGTTGTCAGGATAGGGTAGGGTTTTCATCTGTCCAACCCTGAGTAGATGAATGAGATTTCGGCAGCTTGAGATGAAGAAAGAGTTTCTGGGTAAGAGGCCAAGCCTTGGAGTACAGAAGCCATCACGGTGAGAGGGAGGGAAAGCCGAGAGCTGCTCTATGACTGGAAAGGCTTTGAACACCTAGCGAGGGTATCTGTAATGAGTTTGAAGGATGATAGGGAACCACAGACATTTTGGCATGGTGGGATCAGTACTAGACTGCAAAGAAGAAAAAGAATCTTGGAGGATAGAGGAAGAGCCAATGGGGTGGAATGACCATATAATCTGTGTGGAGGTGGCTCTGTGGGCTGGGAAAGAGGAATGGTGGTTGAAAGGCCCTTCTCAGACAGGAGACATGACTGGAGTGGCCACAGAGAGAAGGTCCAAGGTGGCCTGCAAGCTGAAACAGAGTAAATCAGGTAACATCAAAGGACAGGGTGACAGGGACACTGGGCCAGGGAGGGCAGTATGCTGAGGCTCTGGGCCACAGGAATACTTGCTTGCCTTTAGCATTGGCTTAACAAGCAGTTGATAATGCATAGTTAAGCAGCCACTCTGTCGCCTCAGTGGAGGAATTCAGGGGAGGGCATCTACAAGCACACTTTGCAGCACAACTCTTGACCCCCAAAGCAGGGTGAAGGCCATGTGTCTATTTCAGAAAGAAGCCATAGGTCCTCTGGCTTTACATTACATGATGAGAGAGGGAGGCATCTGCCTCTCCCCCCAGTACCTAGGCGTCTCCTCAGACAGTGTGTGTACTCTGTTTGGCTCATGACCTAGAGCTGGTCAAGCAAGGTATAAACAGCCTCACTTTTAGGTCCAGGAACACACAAATCTCTGAGAAAGGGACAAACCTGAGAAATTTTGAATGTATGGCCCCTTTGCTGCAACAAGCTGACCCTTAGCTCCCAGGAAATAACATCTGTCCCTAGGACTTCCATGATCTTTGCCATTGTCTGCCTTTGCCCTGGATCCTCTTTGTGCCCTGTGTCTTCCACATGGTCATGCTCTGCCTCCAGGTACAGTCACGGGATACTTGAGATATGTCCTCCATATGGAGAAGAAGGAGGAGAAGTGGAAGGAGGAGGAGAAGGGGGAGGAGGAGAAGAAGGAGAAGAAGAAGAAGAGGAGGAGGAGGAGGAGGGGAAGAGGGGGAGAAGGGGGAGGAGGAGAAGAAGGAGAAGGAGAAGAAAAAGAAGAGGAGGAGGAGGAGGGGAAGAGGAGGAGGAGGAAGGAGGGAAGGGGAGGGGAAGGGGAGGAAGGGGGAAGGGGGAGGGGAGGTAGAGGAGGAAAGGGGGCTGAGGAGATGGCTCCAAGATTAAGAACACATACTGCTCTTTTATAGGATCTGAGTTCAAGTCCCAGCACCCACATCACGAGGTTCTCACAAGCACCTGTAACTCCAGCTCCATGGGGTTCCACTTCCTTTTCAGGAATCTGCACTCGTGCACAGATACACATCAACACACATGTACAGACACACTCGCACAATTAAAAGTAATTTTAAAACAACTTTAAAGAAAGGATGTGCGGGAACTAAGGATCCAACT